TACGTAGGGGAAAGTATGTATTGTGTTGAAGATATGCTAGAGAAGAGAATTCAGATATTATGATAGAGATGTAAGAGTACATTCTGTACACTACGTAAGGGAAAGTATGTATTGTGTTGAAGATATGCTAGAGAAGGGAATTCAGATATTCTGATAGAGATGTAAGAGTACATTCTGTACACTACGTAGGGGAAAATATGTATTGTGTTGAAGATATGCTAGAGAAGGGAATTCAGATATTCTGATAGAGATGTAAGAGTACATACTGTACACTACGTAGGGGTAAGTATGTATTGTGTTTCAGAAATGCTAGAGAAGAGAATTCAGATATACTGATAGAGTACATACTGCGCACTATATTAGCGAAGTTAAAGTTTTTATGACAATTTTCAATTGATTCTATACAAGGAAAAAGACGTCTACAAACTTTCATACTCTATTTAAATTTTTAAGGGATGTTATTCGTAAAATCCTCTCTCAGTGCTTGCTTCGTAGTAACAGAAATATGTGTGCACAATATTATACTTCTAGCCTAGATTTTAACGTAGTATTTTTAGCTCTGAATTTTATTAATGTAAACTGTTATTCTTACTTAACAATTATGTTTATTTATATTTAGTGACAAATAATGTAGATATATTTGTATTTTTGTATGTATTCGATTTACGTAAAAACTATTGGGCCGATTTCAAAAATTCTTTCACCATTATAAAGGTAATTTATCTGTGAATAACATAAGCTACATTTTTTATTGTTTTTTTAATTTCACGCGAGTTAAATCATATAAAATATAGAAACATTAAATGAATTTGTTGATTATTAAGTATTTAAGATTGTCTTTTGTTAAATTTCATATGAAAATGAATCTTCTAAAGTAATTATTAGTGAATAAATGTAAAAAAAAGCCATTTTAAAAAGAGAATTATATCTAGTAAAGGTATATCACTGACCTAAATCGGGGGGTCGTCGCTTTCACTTCAATTATTTCACTTGAAATGTATATATTTTTATACAAAAGACATTATTTTAAACACACTTTTAAGTATATTTTATAATCACTATTAATAATTAAAAATCTAATTTTAATATTCACTTAATCACTTTTATTATTATATTTTGGTTAATAAATTTTCACACAATTTTTTTTTGTTAATTAACAAATTTCACTTTTACGTCTGTTCTATTGGACAGCTATAGCTATGTGGATTTTACATTACTCCCAGATTCGATAACCGATTTTACCATTCACTAATCACAACATGAATATACTTCGATATTTTCATATAACCTTTGTAATATGAATAATATAAAATTATTAAGGAATCATTGAATTACACGGAAGGGACGCACGACCGATCTGCGCAGGGTCGGCGCGGGCACTGGAACTAGGGTCGTAGTGGAAGTGGGATGGGAAAAGGGTGTTTTATAGCTAAATGAACTGGGTTTTGTTTCGTGCTACTTTTTCTATGCCACGAAAGGTTTTATTTAATATTAATTTAGAATACTTTTAATAGATTTATGATATCAATATATTAAGAAGTAAATGTTGCTCGCGACTTCGTTTGCTTCGAATCAAAATTTTGAACAGTCTGTGTTCTTCCAGTTATCTATAACTAAGACTTTCATCGACTTATAGAAGCGTATAGAATGTTCTAGAACGGATTAATAAATGTCTTAACGTAATAAATACCATCCTTTTTTTGTACTAATTTAAATAACCTCTAAATGACCTTTTCGATCTCTAGTTCCAATTATTGTGAAAGAAATTGCTCCGTTGCGCCGCAAATTGTAATAAAAAAATAATTTATCTAGGAAATCCAATAAAGGATCTCTAGAGACCACTCCCTTAAAGGTGTGTTTGGGGGTTTCTTATATTATTAGGGGGTGGTTTGGTTTCGTTTAGAAAATAATAATAAATGTATAAATACGTAGAAAATAGTAACAAAATAAGGTAAAAAGTATTATTTCTTAATTATTATTGATAAAATGCATTTATAATTGTAAAATTTCTTTTTTAAGATCTGCAGTTCGTGATTTAACATTCCGTCAATAGATGGCGTTGTTCCAAATGTTTTAATTTATAAAATAAAAATCAAACATAACAACTCAACTATGAGTATTCTGGTATATTTTAAAATAAATTTATAAATGTATTTAATAGGATATGATCTTATTAATATTACAACACAGAACAAATTTAATTTTAAATGTTATCCCAGCTATCTTAGTTGTAACTTATGGATAAAAGATGGCGTTGATTGTTAGTTAAATTTTCGCTCAAGAATTTTTAAAAGTTCATTTTAACTAAATTACTGTGAATTTGTGATAATGAGAAACAAACATTACTTAATATGTAAAGAAAAAGCTTTAATTGAAACATATTTACGTTTTTAACAATATTCTACTATGGATAACTAAGAAAGGTCACGAAAATTGTCGTAATAAGCAGTAAATATTAACGAACACTACGTATTTATCATGTTATTGTAAGAAAACTGTTAAAGATAGATATATGGCATCGCGGACTTTTCTGTAGAACTTTTTAAGGCCTACAATTCTTTCATACATCATTTTTATATATCTCTAACGGTTTAAGCAGCGTAAGCGGAGAAAAGTTAAAACATATTTTTTAACGCGTTCGTCCAGAAATATGTTATTTATTAATAGTTCCTCAACATTAGTAATAATAAAATATAGCCTATGTTACTCAGAAATAAATTTCCTTTCTAATAGTGAAAGAATTTTTAAAATCGGTCCAGTACTTTTTGAGTTATTTCAATCTATGCAAAAATACAAAATCTCTCTCCACCTCCTCCTCCTCTTTATAATATTAGTGTATAGATATAAATATAGATTAAGAATGAATGTGGATGGTTACAAAGGTAGAGGAAGACCGAAGAAAGTATGTATGGATTGTGTGAAAGAGGATATGCTTAAGAAAGGAGTGGATACAGATATGGCTGATAGAGATGTATGGAGCAGCACATACTGTGCCGACCCTCTATAAGGGATAAGGGCAAGTGGGTGATGATTATGAAATATAGATTGGTATGAAATATTAAGCGGTTTCTATTGAATTTCTTAATAATTGATTTATCTTTTTGATCGACTTCCCAAAAGAAAGAGGTACTCAATTCGTCGATATATATATTTTTTATGTGTGTTACGGCATAACTCCGCCGCTAGTGGACCGATTTTGATAATTCTTTTTTTATCCTAAAGGTAATGCTTGCAGGTGGGTCCCATTTTTTTGTTTGATTTTTGGAGTCAAAGACTACGACATAGTTAAATAGTTTAGCTCAAAATCGCGCGACGAAATTTCGGGTCATTTTTATTCCTTTAGTAAACATTTCACGTTAAGGTGACCGCAAAGGTAATAAATTCCAATAAAAAATAATTGGTCAAGGAAAACTAAAAAAACAACCCTGAGGGCTGCACCCTTATAAAGGTGTTTTAGGGTGCTTCACATACTTTTAGGGTGGTTTTTTTAGAGGTTAACGTAAATAAAAATACCACATTTATTTGACTTTTACTAGCTATCGCCCGCGAATCCGTTTCCGTGGGATTACAAAAAAAAAAGACAAGCCTATTGTGTTCTTCCAGACGTCCACTACATTTATGGTTAAATAAATATGATTTTTATTGCCATGAAAAAAAACATAAGACATTTGATACACAAAACCTTAGAGCTAGTAAAAAACGTGGCAAAAGGTGACGCTCAACTATGTCCAATTTCATCGAAATCCGTTCAGCAGTTTAGGCTACAAACTCTAACAAACATCCATCTAAACTTTCACGTTTATAATATTAGTAACTTCATAATATGAAGTAGAGCTTTCGTCCGTGAGTCTGCAGTCAAAACTGCATACCCTATATGTTCTTCCAGACTATCCTCTACATCTATACCAAATTTCATCGAAATCCCTTCAGCCCTTTAACAGTGGTAGTGCCCGCTTTAATATCTTAGCACTGCAGGACACGCCCGGTGTAATACCACGACCACACAGACAGACGTGAAATGTAAGCATTTCCGTGTTTCTTCTGAAGAGTGTGGTGCCGGAGGCCTAATTTAAGTCCCTTTCTCTTTACCATCCTTTTCTTATCAGGACAGGACGGGAAGAGGAAGTGGATTTGACGGTGGAGGAGATGCATAGGAAGGGGCAATATTCTCTGTATGTGCGTAGGCAACGCATCTACGATCGCGGATGTCTATGGGCAGTCGCTTCGCCATTTTGGCTTATTCAGGTGGCCGCTTGCTCGTTTGCCACCTTATGTTATAAAAAAAGCCGTTTAGGCTACAAAATCTACACTTTCGCATTTATGATAGTATGAAGTAAGATTAGTTCCAAATTCCACCGCTACCAACCGCTACCGACAACGCCAAGATGGCGGACATCAAATAGGCACAAAATAACATTCTTGATACCCTATTGCATTTAGAGGTCACATTAAAACACTATCTTTGACATATAACCTTTATTTTCAAGATAAACATATTGCAATAAGATAGGAATCCCCATTTATTATTTGATTTACATACTAGTTGTTCATGCGGCTTCGTCCGCAAGCAAAACTTTATTTTATTAACAGTTGCAAATGTCTAAAATTCACATTACAAACAAGGCTTTCACTGGTCTGTGTTTAAATTAGCAACTTCGTTTATTTGTTTTTTTTTTAATCTTTCCTACTAAGTGTTATAGCGTAACTAGCTTTCGCCCGCGACTCCGTCTGTGTGGAATTAAATAAAAACAAAAGTGAGCCTATATGTTCTTCCAGACTGTCCTCTACGTCCATACCAAATTTCTTCGAGATCTGTTCAACCGTTTAGGCTACAAACTCAAACAAACATCCATCTAAACATTCACTTTTATAATATTAGTAAGATTAGTAAATGTAGGGGTTTTTAATATATATTTCAAAAGGGATAGGTATTTTCGTATGTATTGAAATAAAAAAAAATCACCATTAAAATCTTTCGTTCGTTCGTTCGGTTCGTTTTTTTTTATTTTTTTAATCAAAAACTAATAGGCCGATTTTAAAAATCCCTTCACTATAAGAAAGGTAATTTATCTGTGAATAACATAGGTATAGGTCGCTAGCAACAACTAATAAATGGTTACTTCAGAAACCTAGCGTAATAAAATATAGTTTTTATAATACCAGCTTATAAAGATAAAATTTATTTATATAAACTTCAACATATAAGTAAATTTTCACTAAGAAATCAAACGTCGTGGCATCAAGATGTTCAAATTGTTAATTTTGTTATCTATTTCTACTGTTTTCTGTTTACCAGATGTTAATAAATTTCTTGGAGAATGGTATCACATTGGCATGTACACAGCTGCGTCAGAAATTCACGTATGTACAAAATTTAACATCACTTTAGATGGAAAACCGTGTACTTGTGATGACAAAAGTGCGTCAGCGTTGAAATTCGGGTTAGTTGCGTTACCTATAATAATAATTGACGATTACAATCAAGTTGAAAATGCATTAAATCAGAAATGTAGAAGTGGGGATATGTTAAAAACGATGGCAGTTCGATTGGTTAACGATGATTACTTTGTTATTTATGAAAAGTGTTACGAATGTACGAGAAAGGAACCGAATACGGCGAATTTGATGGCGAGAAAGATACCGACGAAGAAGGAATTGGAAGACTTAAAAAACATCGAGGAATTAAAAGATAGAAAAGGTATGGTTTGTAATCTTGTGAAATAAAGTGTTTTTTAAATGTATTTTTTATATTTATTTTCATATTACCTATTCCCGTTTCATCCGCATAAAATTGTAACAACTTTATTTTATTAACATTTGTCAAATTCTTAATTGTAAATGTCAAAATTACCATAATAACCTTGTTTCCTTAAAGTTAGTAGCTTGTAGTTTATGTTCTAACAGTGGTAGTGCCCGCTTTAACATCTTAGCACTGCGGGACACGCCCAGGGTAATACCACGACCACACAAGACAGGCGTGAAATGGAAGCAATTCCGTGTA